CTTCGGATGGTATTAGCAGAGGCTGTCACTAAAGCAATGTCAATAGTGGCTTGTTGTCGATGTGAAATACAAAAAGGGTGTGAGTGGGTGTGGTTGTGTGTGTGTGAGTGTGAGGTGTGGGTGGGTGTGGGATGTGGGCGGGGGTGTGGGTGTGGGTGCGTGTGGGAGTGGGGTGTGGGTGGGTGTGGAAGTGCGTGTGGGTGTAGGTGTGGGTGTAGGTGTGGGTGTAGGTGTGGGTGTGTGGGCGTTGTTCTTCTTTTCGCCCAAACTCACACCCACACCCACACCACACCCACACCCACACCACACCCACACCCACACCCACACACACCCACACCGACACCCACCCACCCACACCCACACTCACACTCACACCACACACCCACACCCACACACACCCACACCGACACCCACACCACACACCTACACCCACCCACCCACACCCACCCACTCACACCCACACCCACACCCCACCCACACCCCACACCCGCCATTGAACCATTGTCGAGTTATTTGATTTTTACGACAGTTTTTTAGCACAGTGTCGTGGTCCTCCTCAGGTTCACCTGAAAAATCAACTTTTGAATTTCGACTTGAAACTTTATGCAGAGAAAGGTCTCAATGCGACTAGTTTATTCTGAAAGTTTTAAATTCCTTGATTGCTTCTATTCTGAAATATGAGCATTTAAGATTTTGTGATATAAGTAATGTGAAGAAGGGTACTTTTTCTTACACTCGTATCTTGGGATAGAAGGAACCTAAAAATCTGAAACTTGCAGAATAAACTAGTCTCATTGAGACCTTTCTCTACTCAAAGTTTCAAGTCGAAATTCGAAAGTTGAGGGTGTGGGTGTGGGTGTGGGCGGGTGTGAGTGTGGGTGTGGGTGTGGGTGGGCTGTAGGTGTGAATGTGGGTGTGGGTGGGTGTGGGTGGGTGTGTATACAGAGTAGAACTACAATCACGCACACATCCACCCACACCTACACCCATACCCCACCCACACGGACACCCCATGTTATTGTTTATCAACTGAATGCACTGAAAAACAAATTGATACGATACTGAACCAAAAAGAGTAGGGTGTGGGTTATCTCGTAACTATGCCCCGACTCCGCCCCCATCCTCATCCACAACCACACTCACACCCAAACAGTCACACTCACCCACATGCACACTTCACACTTCACAACCACCACACCCACATCCTCCAATAAGGAACAAGATATAATAAGAAGTTTGAATTTTAGACGTATTAATGTCTGTGTAGATGATATCTTTTATTCTCGACTGAATTTCGTTCCAGGACTCCTGATTAATGAAGAGTTATTTTGATCACAATGCCTTTTCGATTGAAATAGTTTTTTTCGAAAAAAACAGATGACGAGGTGTATGTGTACGGGGCCTAAATATTAATTCAGACCAAATACTTCTATCTCAAGAGCGTGAAAGTAGCCATTGACAATGTGATTGTACGGCCCTTTTTGAGTGTTTTCAGACCATAATCGAATACTTAATCCAGTTGTGTCACGATAGCTATCGAAATACGCAAATATTGTACGATCTGAGACGATTTTATCGTAATCATTGTTAGAGCTCCAAGCAAACATGATAGTGAGGTCATTACCACCAAAAATAGGACCATCGTACGACACATGCGCAATGGCTCGATCTGTTTTATCTGGTCGCACATAAAATTTCGTTGGTGGTACATGATGTTTGTTCAGTAAGGTGAAAATAAAGGCTGTTGGATCCTCTCGATAGATACATTCTTTGTTGAGTGGAGAAGTCCAAGAGACCGACGTGAATCCACCAAATATGCAACCATCGCTCGATTTTACGAGAGTCAGTGTCGGTCCTTGACCATCACAAAGACGATGGAAGCGAACCGGACCGAATCCGTGACGCGATGCTCTGTAGAGAAGCTTCCATTTTGAATTTTTGATGTCACAAAACTCATTTAAAATGGATTGATGATCGCAGCTTAACAGTTGAGTGTCGTCAAACAGTCGTACATTTATTTGTCGCTGCACTTAAAAATCGTAAAATATTATAGTAATTGCTAGAACGTTTCTGGAAGCAGCTCAACTAAGCGCTCCTTCTAATTGCATCTGCAGTTACGAGGGCTATACTTCCTTCCTGAAGCATCACTATTTACTGTTCGGAAACAGTTGAGACAACCTCTCTGAGTTTATTTTTCAACACTCACCCTCTGCAATTCTCTGTTTGCTTAATTCTTGATTTAATTTCTGTTGTGTAGTTAAATAGGCTTCTGTTCGTTGTTGGTCTTTTCGGAGTCTTTCTTTTTCCTCGGATTTTTGTTGTTGTTCTTTTATCGCAGCTTCTCTTCGGTGTTCTTCATATTTTCGGAGAAGCTTTTGGTATTCAGCTTTTTGTCGTCGTTCTCTTTTTTCACATTCTGTTTCTAATTCTATCATTTCTAATCGATGTCTTTCTCGATCTTCTTGAATTTGCTTCTGAAATTCTGCAATTTGTTTCGTTAATTTTGCTAAATCGGCTGCTTGTAGATTGATTTCATGTTCTTTTTTATGCGTTTTCGGCATGGCTGTTGCCACTGTTTGAATTAACTGACGACGAAGTGCTAACTTCTCGTTCGGCGAATCAATATGACTAACAAAGCAGATGTGTGGAAGATTCATTTTCAGTAAGCGATTCAAAGCTTCTTTTGTCTCAGCTTCATAATCATGCGGACGGTTTGAATTCAATCCGTTGACAATAATGACCAATGATTTTTGACTAAATGGATATGCATCATTAATAGCATTGAATGCAACAACATCTTCATTACGTATACGACCATTTTGATGTCCAAAGGCGTACAGTATAACGGCATAGGGGTGCTGCTTAAATGCAATGCCAATTTCGCGCTTATTAATATCGATGCGTTCCTGATCCGCTTCGATAAGGCCAGGAATATTGTAGACCGCATATGTTTGGCCATTAAACGAGCACTCTTGATATTCGCTTTTGGTGGTCACAGCATTTACCCGGAACTCATGTTTAAATGCCTCTTCACCTAAGATCACATTGCCGATGAAACTTTTGCCAACACCACTGTTGCCGAGAATAATTATTCCTGCACTTTTACTAGCTGCAGCCATGCTAGAAGAAAAAATACAGACAAATATCTGAACTGTTATCTGCTTCGTGTCGAGTGTATCCGGTTTATCGCTTCATTTATAAACGATAAAATAGTTCTTAACTAGCCTAGTCTGTTTAGATTTATATCCTTTCTACGCACCCTTTTGACTTTTTTTTATCAAATATGATCTAAAAGGAGTGTTGAAGTAAACAGAACAGGGATTTACACTCTCCCCCCAACCCAACAGATCGAGACAGACATGGTTGGTATATAATCCAAAACCTTATGTCCCTCATATCTAACTGGAACATATGAACTACTTTGTTATTGCAGTTGCCCAGCATTACGTGAAGAATGATGAAGAAATATGCCCCAAAATAGAGTGACTAGGATGCTTCTCATCTCATTAACAGCAACATCTACATCGTGTTTTACATCTAAACCCATAGGAATTACGCCAACAGTCTTTTTTATTTATACCCAAATACGTACGTCCTTTTATGCTTCCTCTTACATACGTACCTGTGTACGCCCTTTTGCACGTCCTTTTGCACGTCCTTTTGCACGTCATTTTACACGTCCAATTCGAAGTTCTTTTGTACGTCCTTTTATGCTTCCTCTTACATACGTTCTTATGTGGATGTGGTCGGGTGTGGGTGTGATGTGGGTTATTCTTCCTTCATCACTCACACCCACACCCCACACCCACACCCACACCCACCCACACCCGACATCCACACCCACACTCACACCCACCCACACCCTTATACTCATCGTATTATCTATAGTTCCTAATGTATATGTAATTTCTTTGACATATATAATCAATGTTGATAAACAATTGAGACGTCCATCAAATAGATAAAGACAATCATCGAAACTTTTTTACAGAAATTTTTAATACAGTCAATGTTGACGACTTCCAATTTGTTGATGATAATTCAAAAGTATAAATTGATGATCAATGATAGAATTTACAAAAATTTAATTCGAGTAGGGTGTGGGTGTGCGTGTGGGTGTGGGTGTGGGTGTAGGTGGGTGTGGGTGTGGGTGCGTGTGGGGTGTGGGTGTGGGTGTAGGTGGGTGTGTGGGTGTGGGCGTCGGTGAATGTAAATGTTGGTGTGAAGGAAAGATCGACATCCCACACCCACACTCACACACCCATCCATGCCTACACCCACCCACACCCTCGACGAAACGTCGACAATTTTAATTTATAAATAAATAAAAAATGAAGTTTAAAGCTGCTGTTAAGATTATCATTTTCATTAACAAATTTTTGCCCATTACTAAAACAAATTAATTGTTAATTGTTGACAAAAATCTGAATAGTTCTAACATCTGATGATCTTTATTTAGAATTAATTAGAACATGTTTTTCTGAC